GAGATGGCGAGGCTGCGATCAATTTCGTCTGGTCCGAAATCGGCAGTCCAGACCCCCCGAGCGACGCCGCCAACTGAGCTCCAGCGGCCCGCGACTGCTGTCCGACAGACGGCTCAGTGCCTTCGCTCCTGACGACCGTGTCGCCAACAAAGGTCCAGAGCCCGACAGGTGGGGCCCCCGGAAAATTCGCACTGGCATGCGCAGCTTGCAAAATCGGCCCGAGGAAAACCTTCGCAAGTTTGACCCCGTGCGCCGACCCCGTAATGATGGACCGCTCTGGGAACACAAGATCGCTGCAAGTCGTCCTGGCCTGGAGAGCCCTCGGCGCCAGGAAAAGCTGGACTTCGAGCAGGGTTACCGCAGGTGGGAAACCCTGCTCACTAGAGACCTTCATGAGCAATAACCTACTGACGTTGTCGCTGAATTTCTCAGCGTCGAGCAAAAGAGAGGCCGACATGAAACCCAACGACACCGACGACTCGTCCATCGCAGCTCTGACGATCGACGCCCTGAGGGCACTGCTCTTCCTCGCCGCAGTGTCCCAGTACTCTCCGAGACTCTCAGACCACTGGTCGGTGAGGGTGGCCCGAGCGCGGGACCAGATGCCCGCCGCAGTCGGGAGAAGCCCAATCACCCTGTCACCTCCAGCGGGCTTGGGGATCGCGCAGCACGCAGTGAGAAGAAGCTGGCATAACCAGCTGCCGGGGCGCGAGCGGCGTTGAGCACGTCCGCGAAGCCCTGGCGCCCCAGCCTCGGCAGCCTCTGGATGTCCAGCGGCGAGAGGACGTCGACGCCCTTGGCCTTGGCCCCCGACATGCGCCCGACGATGCTGTCCACCCGCTCCACCTCCAGCGGCTCGAGCGGCTGCTGCTGCGCCTCCTGCCAGAGGAAACGCATGCCCTGGAGGAGGTCGAGGCGCGACGCTGCAGGGTCCTGCCAGCGCGGCCCTCAGCAGGCAGCCTTGTCGGCCAGCAGGGCTGCTGGGTCAGCCGCGGCCTCCGGGGCGGCGGCCTCGGCCTCGACGTGCCGGTGGACCGCGCCCGGGCATCTCCCCCAACAGTCCTGAGCCGAGCGCGCGAAAGTCTGGCCAGCAGCGGCCAGGCATGCCTCGCCAGCGCGCGACGGCGAGCGCGGCTGGCTTGCGACTGCGCCAGCCGCCAGGCCCCAGGCTTCAGGAGGGATGAGGAAGGCCACCTTCACTTCCGAGGGGCTGTGGATCCGCAGACGGAGGCGCGGGGGGGAATTACTTACAAAACCGATCGTTTGTACGGAATTTCCCCTGGCAACTTCCACGTCCTCGGCCAGGTCGTCGAAGGCGGCGCGCAGGTTCGGGTCGAGGTCCTCCCTGCGCCGCCGCCTCTGCTCCAGCATCCTGCACGCCCGCTTGCTGCCCTCCTGCGGCAGTCTGCGAGGGCGCTCGCGGGGCGGCAGGGCCCGCGGCACCGCTAGAACCTGGTGCCACCACTGCTCGTGGCCGCTGGCGATGTCCAGCTCCAGGCCCACGTGCGTCTTCCAGGGCGCCTGCAGACAGGCGCGGAGCTGCAGGAAGGCCTCGAAGCCGCGCTTGGCCACCGCGAAGTCGATGAGCGACGTGCCCGAGGCCGTGGAGCAAGTGATGTCCACGTCGGGCGCGACGATGATGACGTCCACCAGCTGCGTGAACTGGGAGGCCTGAAGCTGCTGCGTGCTGAGGTTCCAGTCGCCGATGATGACCCACGGGTCGACGAGCGTCTTGACGAAGCGCCCGACCGACCGAAGGCGCTCGACGCTGGCGCCCCCCAGCTTGTCACCAGGGAGGAGGTACGCCGTCACGACGACGAGGTTGCCCCTCTGGAGGTGCAGGGTGGCCGCCTGGAAGTCCTTGCACTGCGACCCGCCAAGCATGCGCTCCCAGGAGGCGGCTGCCAGGTGCTTCAGGGCGAAGATGGCCTCGCCACCTCTGCATCCCGAAGCAGACTTGAGCGACGGCACGGCTGGGGTGACCATGGCGTGCCAGCCGTCCTTGGCAACCTCCGTGCGGATGCCCTGCACGTCCGCTGCCTTCTTGTGCATCTCGACGAAGCACACCGCACTGTACTGACGTCCTTGAGCCCGGAAGAAGCCGAGAGACTTCGGGCCCAATTCCGCGATATTGCCAAAGCAAACTGTAGCCGCGCCCTTGCGGGCAGGTCCAGTGCCATACAGCTCGCATCCACTCTCTCCACGCTCAGGGGCACTGGCGTTGCCCGCCGCATCAGCATCCCGAAGAGTACGTCGTGATAGTGATCCTGCGCTGCCCCGAACCTAGCCACCAGTCTGACAACGAGACGGCGCCAAAGGATCTTCCTGGTGTGGAATGGGGACGGTCGGCACACCCGCCGCCATCCTCCGAAGAGTGGGCACGACAGCGTGGGTTCCACCCCGCCGCCCTCCATGGGAGACGCAGGGAGTGCTCGTCCTCCCCCCCTCCCCCACCGTGGCCAGCGGTGGTTTGACTCCTGAGTGGGCTCGAGGTGGGGGTGCCTCTTCGTGATCTGCCATCCCGCTCACATCAACGGGCTCGCCGTCCGAACATATGTCGAGCTCTGCGAACACGTCAACCCCCTCCATGTCCAGCTCCACGGGCCACGCCCGCAGCTGCTCCACGGCGTCTGCTGCGCCCGAGTCTCTCCCGCCAGCATGAGGAGACGCACTGGGTTCTCGGGCTGCCTGCTGTGACACTGGCCGCTCAACCCTCAACGGATCCTCGGCAAGGTCCTGCACGCAGGGCACCAAGCCTTCCACCCGAGGCAGCTCCTGGGGTCGCTGAATGGGTGCACGCTCCTCCCTAGCTCGCGAGGGCTGGGGCCCACGACCAGGTCCAGGCTGCAGCTGCGCGTAGGGAGCGCCACCAGCTCCGCGCCCTCGCAGGGGGTGCCGTCCACCAGGCGGCAGCACGACCTCGAAGGCTCCCTAACCATGCGGGGGGGGGGGGCGCTCGAACCGCGGACGGCATCGGCCACCCGCCCGTCGGCGGCGTCGGCGGTGAGCTGGGTGCTGCGGGAGGCATCGACCACCCGCGCGTCCGCGACAGCCCGCTCGCACCCTACGCCGCCCCCCCACGCTGCGGTCGGAGGCGTCACCAGCTCCGCGCCCTCGCAGTAGGCCACGGCGCTGCAGGGTCACGTTGACCGAGGGCTGGGCGGGAGACTGATCCTCCCGTGCAGCAGCATCGGCCTTCTTCGCGGGGCCAGGGTAGGGGGCCCCGCTGGCCCGCTCCTCAGGACGCGGCGGCCCCCGCCGCTGCGGCAGGCGCCGTGGCGGGGGCCTGGGCCCGAGCAGAGCCTGGGCGCACCGCCGCCGCTGCTTGACGCTTGGCCAAGATCTGCGAGGCGCGAGCCTGGACCGCCACCCGCTGCGCGTCGGTGCCTGGGGCTGCGCCTGCGGCGGGCTCGCTCGCGGCCGCGCCCCCCCCCCCGCCGCCCGCGTAGACGGTGGGCGGGGCAGAGGCGGCCGCCTCGGCCGCGGCCGCAGCGCCGTCTGCCCCTGGGGCGGCAGCTGGCGCGGCGGCGGCGGCACCAGCGCCTCCGCGCCGCTTCTTGCCCATGCGCTCCGTGTGCTCCAGGTGCTGTTTCTTGGCGGCCGTGGCGACGTCGGCGGCCTTCTGGAAGATCTCTCGCGCCATGGAGGTGGTCTGCTTCTCCAGTTCGGCACGGCGCCTCTGGACCTCCTCCTTGTCCTCCTGCGTGATCTCTTCGTCGCCGAAGTCGAAGATGCCGCGCGTGTCGACCTTGACGGAGTCGCAGGTGCCGTCGAGGAGCGAGCCCAGGGCCAGGACAGGCTCGGAAGCCTTGATCCTGCTCTTGTGGAGCTGCGCCAGGAGCTCGTCGTGCTGCTGGGCGTACTTCTCGAGCTGCCTGCTGATCTGCTCGATCTGGTCGCGCTGCTCGTCGGCCGCCTTCTCCAGCTTCTCGAGCTGCTCGATGGCGGCGGCCAGCTTCTTCACCTGGCGGTCCCTGGCGTAGGTGACGCCCGAGAGCTGGGTGGCCAGCGGCTTGGGGGCGGGAGGCGTCTCCTGCTTGGTGATGGCGGCCCTGCAGCGGCGCTCCAGGTCCGAGTTGCCGAGCTTGACGGCGACGGCGAGGAGGTCAGTGCTGGAGCTTCGCAGGGTCCAGCTTCTCCACCTGGATGCCGTCATGCCCGGCAGCACCACCAGCGCCACCAGCAGCAGGGCGCCCGCCCGCCCAATGCCCACGCGGCCGCGGGGCCTGGGCCTCGCTCGGCTGGTCGCTCTTGGGGCTGAAGCAGTGCTTGCACCAGTACCACGTGGCGTGGTTCTTCCCGCAGCCGCAGCTCGTGCAGTTCCACATCGATCCCGACCGGACCCATGGCGCCATACTTCTTGGGTGCGAGGCGGCAGACCGCGCTGGTGGCCGGCTTCCCTGCACCGAAAGCCGGATGAGCGCAGGACGGCGGCGCGCAGCACGTCCGTCCAGGCTCTCTCTCCAGGGGCGGACCTGGAGGAAGGATCCGGGTGTGCCGCGGACTAGCGGTACCCGTTTTTGCCAATGCGGGCACAGCCCGCCAACACATAGGTCTTGAGCCAAAATGGTTACGGAAGAGAAAGGGAGGGTGAAAAAGGGGCAGGCGGAGGAGGAGGAGGAGGAGGAGGAGGAAGAGGAGGAGGAGGAGGAGGAGGAGGAGGAGGAGGAGGAGGAGGAGGAGGAGGAGGAGGAGGAGGAGGCGGAGGAGGAGGCGGCGGCAGAGGGGGAGGAGGAGGATGCGGAAAACCTCAACATGGCGTTCCAAGGCCCTTGCATCCTTACTGCGCATCCTTATTATCCTGGTTGATTGTAGTCCTCCTGCCCACCTCTGCGTTAATCTATTTTCCTCTCTGCATCATCGTTGCCGAGTTGAAAAGGGAGTCTGGGCTCCAGAACCGACGGAGGAACGCATCACCGAGGCGATCTGCATCATCATCTCCTGCCATTTCCACATTCTCGGGCGCACCTCATATTTCGTACAATGCCCCCCTGCATTCTAGTGCCTCTTCGGCTCCATCCCGCCGGAAGCAGGCTTCAGGCTCTATGCCTTTTCGTCTTTACATCGGCTGGCGAAATTTCGCTACACGTTCGGGGCCGCGCGTCTCGTGGAGGGCGGACGGTGGCCATGGCGCCCGTCTGCGCCGTCGCACTGCTCTTGGCGGCTGGCGCCGCCCAGGGTGCCCGCCCGGCGCTTGACCTCGAGGGCGCGAGCCTCAGCGTCGAGGGCAACGCTGGTGGTGGAACGAGCCGCGCTGGGAGGAGATGTGCTGACATCGTCCCTGGGGCGGAGCCCTCCTATTTGGGTTCGTGCAGGTGCGCAGCAGAAGGGGCCAAGCTGGCTGGCGAGGATGCAGCATGCAAGTTGGATGAGGACGATGACGCTTTCATGCCGCACCCCGTCGAGGGCAAGGGCTGTTTCTGCAGAGTCAGCAGGAACAACAGGAGCGCTGGCGAGGGCGGATTCGTGGAGATGGTGGATTCGGAGCCGCGGTGCCCCATTTTGGCTGAAGTCGCCTCCATGGAAGAGTGCAGGGAGGCGACCGCAGCACTTGGGATAGGTCACGGGCCGGTCTTGGATCGTGAATTACAGCATCAAATAAGCTTCTGTGCTGTTAGCAGAAAAGGCTACGCGGAATCTTGGTGGAATCCAGTGCCCCCCATGACTTCACAGGGCAATTCAGCTTTTGGTTTCAGCCCTGTCTGCAGAGGCAGCTCGTACTACCTTCAAGACAGAGCTGTCGGGGACAGAGGGTGTCCAGCAGGGCATGAGCTTCTGTTCGTCGAAGAGTGTCGCGCGGCGTTAGCCCTTATGACAGGGCGAACAGTCGTTCGCTACCGTCCAGCATCAGCTGCCGTGTATGGCTGCCATTTAGAAGAACACGAGTGGACACAAGGGACGGACCATGATTTAGAGACTGTAGTTAAAGTCGAAGCAGTGTTCCTCCATAGACATGGGGCCAACAAGAGAGTTAGTGAGTCGGCAGGTGTTCTGAAGGCAGCAGTATGTCGTTCATAAAACTCTACAGTGATTGCTGAGCAAGCGGTTGCTATTCTGCAGCAGCCGTTGAGCAGTCCCGAAATGATCATCAATTCGATGCGTCGTCTCGCAGCAACTGGTTTGAACGGAGCTATCTTTTCGGAGGCATTGGTTCCTTTCCTCTGGCACAGGGACATCAAGGTGGGTTCCACAAGCGAAGTCACTGGTAATGCATCACAGTACGAGCGAGAGTGCGACGCTGTAGGCATGGCACCCTCATGGGAGCAGCACCGAGGGCTGCAGGGGAAGATCCTTGGGGTCAACTTCGAGAAAAGAATTGCGGAGCTCGCCAGCGCGGTCGGAAACGTGCACGTGCCAATCAGAGCGCTGCGCCAATTCAGCAAGTGGCAGCCGAGGCGGCTTACCGTCGCCGCTGTGAGTGCGCTTGGTTACTTTATCAATGACGAGTTCGCGGACTCCGATGGGATCAAACGCGCGCTTGACAATGTCTTCACGAAGCACATGCGCCACATATCAGATCATGAGCAAGAATTCAGGCATCTGGTCACCTCCTCGCGTGACACGTCTGTCCGCGTCGGAGCTCGAGCACTTGTGCTGTTTAGTGAAATGGCGAGACGACGGACGATTAGCTTCAAGGCGAAGCTCAAGAGCGTGACGCTTCGAGTCCTCCAGGACGAGCGGAGGTTCAAGGACAAGGAGAGGAAGAAGGAGAAGGCGATTGTGAAGAAGAAGGAGATGGAGAGTCAGATCGGCCTGAACATGTCTTCGCAGGTGCAAAAGCCCATCTTCTTCGATAACGACGATGTTCTACGTGTGCCTCCTGGCATGATGGTATTGCTGACAGCGCATAACGAAGTGGAAGCCCATCGCTGTCCAAACATCCACGCGTGCCCTGGGGTCACTCTCGCAGCCGAAGAGCTGCTCAGCCCGAGCAGCACGTTTTTCAACCGCTCTTGCGAGGAAGGGTACCGCCCAGACTTGCCAGGGTGCGCGGGATGTGCGCCTGGGAGCGGCAGGAGCCCCATGGACGTCTTCGCCTGCAAGGCGTGCGGCGATCGCTCCAAGGAGGCGCTACTCTACATTTCGCTACCGTTGTCCTTGTTCCTCTTCGGCTTGAAGTCTGCCTACGACCCCTCGGAGGCCGAATGCTTTGGCAGTGTGCTCACAGTCTTCCTCTCCTTCCACAGTGCTGCAAGCCTGGTCCTAGGCGCCATCGTGGCGTCTCCCATTGGCAGCATGATGCCCAAGGACGCCAGCCTCTTTCTGAGCTTCTGCATCGCTTCTGCTGAGGAGGCCTCGGGCATGCCTTCAGGCAGCATCGACTGTTTCCTTGAGAGGCCGGCGGGGGTAACCTCGTGGCTCTTGCACAGCGCGGTCGTTCCCGTGACGATCTTGATGCTTTGGGTGGGGGGTGCGGTCGCGCTGGGCTGCATCCGCGGAGTTCGCCCAAACTACACCGTGATCGTCGTCCGGCCCGCGGCCGTCTTCGTCAAGAGCTTCCTCCCCATGATCTTCGCGGGTGTGTGGAGGGCCTGGCCGTGCTTCCACACCCAAGCCGGCTCCGGCCTTGAGTGCCCCTCCATCCCGTGCCCAAAGTATGTTCTCAGTTCTCTCTTCAGGTTCCTTTCGTCCTGGATCTGCACGCCGCGCATGGCGATGGAAAAAGCGCAGCCAGGGGGCATAAGGGGGCGCAGCGCCATCCTGACCAAAATCTCGAGCGCCGAATCCAAGCGAGGCGACGGACGGCTTCCTCGAAGGCCCCAGAGACCAAGCAGCCCCAAATGACCAAGTGCATTTGCTTCGCCGCCCCGCGCCTCCGAAGTTCT